CCTTGCAATGCGGAGGACACAGGTTTGATCCCTGGTCAGGGAACCAAGATCCCACATGCCACAGGGCCACTAAGCCTATGAGCTCTAGAGCCTTTGAGACAGAACAAGACAGCCTGTGTGCTGCAACTACTGAAGCCTATGTGCCACAACTAGAGAGTCTGGGTGTTGCAATGAAAGATCCTGCATGATGCAATGAAGATCTCACGTGCCACAGCTAAGACCCAACACAGCCAAATTATAAATAAACAGTAAAAATAAAATAATCAAATTCATAAAATTAAAGTCTAGAATGGTGGTAAACAGGGGCTGGGTAGAGGGAGAAATGGGAAGTTATTAATCAACAGGCATAAAGTTTCAGTTAAGTAAGATTAATAAGCTTTGGAGATTTGCTGTACATTGTACCTGTAGTCAACAATAATGTATTATATACTTAAAATTTGTTAAAAGCAGAGATCTTATGTTGAGTGTTTTCATCACAATAAGATCTAAAAAATAAAGCTCTTTGGAAGAAAAAAAATATGGATTAGTTAATCTATTTTGGAAGCCTTCTCCATTTTGCATTAATGAGAGTCTAGCTGTGACTATGGCCTTTGTCCTAGAGACATTGCCCAAGGTTTGACACTGAAACGGGTCTGCCATTTTCTTTTAAATGCTTTTCAAAATTATTTTTATTTTTGGTTGCACTGGGTCTTCATTGTTGCTAGTGGGCTTTCTCTAGTTGCAGAGAGTAGGGGCTACTCTCTAGTTGTGGTATGTGGGCTTCTCATTGAGGTGGTTTCGCTTGTTGCAGAGCACAGGGTCTGGGCACATGGGCTTCAACAGTTGCAGCACATGGGCTCAGCAGCAGTGGTTCATGGGCCCTAGTAGGCTTTAGTAGTTGAGGCTAGTAGGTTCAGTAGTTTCGACACCCAGGATCCAGAGCATGGGCTCAGTAGTTGTGGCACACAGGCTTGGTGGGCCTGCGGCATGTGGGATCTTCCTGGACCAGGGAACCCATGTCCCCTGCATTCGCAGGGTGGATTCTCATCCACTGTGCCACAAGGGAAGCCCTGCAGTTTTCTTTTGAAGAGTAGTTTGTAACTGGTGCTTATATCATAAGCCCCTGGGGGGTTCATTATAACAGAGTGCTGGTTCCCAACTCCAGAATGTCAAATTCATTAGGTCCAGAGAGGACCTGAGACTTTGTATTTCTGCCCTGTTTACAGGTGATGCTGCTGCTACTGCTAGTCTGGGGTCCACACTTTGAGAATCACTGCTTGCCTGATACCACAAAGTAATAAAACTCTGCCCCTGGAGTATTGTCCTAACCTCCTCATGGGAGCCTTTGATTCAAGATATAGCCAGAGTCCCTAGAAGGACAGGAAGCAGGGAATGGCCACTCACTCCAATATTCTTGCCTGGAGAATCCCCATGGACAGAGGAACCTGGTGGGCTACACTCCATGGGGTCTCAAGGAGTCAGACACAACTGAGCAACTAACACATTGTATATAGTAGGAGGTATGAATCCAGGCTCCTTCCTTTGTGATCTTGGATTAGGCGAAGATTTCTTAGATAAGACATCAAAAGGACAATCCAAAAAGAACAAACTGATAAATTTAACTACATCAACATTGAACATTTCTGCTTTTCAAAAGCCATTGCTAACTTTCTGCCTCACCAGCCACTGTAGAGCAGTGGCTGTGGCTCTGCTCTTCCCCATGGCCATGGGCCTCAACAAGGGCCAAAAGATGACCAAGAACATGAGCAAACTGAGGCACAGCCACCTCCTCGAGCGCCTTACCAAGCACACCAAGTTCATGCGGGACATGATCCGGGAGGTGTGCAGCTTCACCCCTTATGAGCGGTCGCCCATGGAGCTGCTCAAGGTCTCCAAGGACAAGCAGGCCCTCAAGTTCATCAAGAAAAGGGTGGGGACATACATCTGAGCCAAGAGGAAGAGAAAGGGGCTGAGTAATGTCCTGGCCACCATGAGGAAAGTGGCAGCCAAGAAGGACTGAGTCCTTCCCCTCTGTGCACAATAAACCTTTTCAGAAAACAAAAAAGACATTGTTAAGAGAATGAACAGACAAGCCACAGACTGCCAAGAAAAATACTTGCAAAGCATATATCTGATAGTGTCAGTATCCAGAAGACTGGGGAATAAGAACTGCTTCTTGAAAGGTCTATTAATAGGATATGGCAAAAGGGGTGGTGTATGAGGAAACCAGAATTGAAAGAGACACGTGCACCCCAATGTTCATCGCAGCACTGTTTATAATAGCCAGGACGTGGAAGCAACTGAGATGTCCATAAGCAGACGAATGGATAAGAAAGCTGTAGTACATATACACCATGAAATATTACTCAGCCATTAAAAAGAATGCATTTGAATCAGTTCTAATGAGGTGGATGAAACTGGAGCCTATTATACAGAGTGAAGTAAGCCAGAAAGAAAAACACCAACACAGTATACTAACACGTATATATGGAATTTAGAAAGATGGTAACGATAACCCTATATGTGAGACAGTAAAAGAAACACAGATGTACAGAACAGTCTTCTGGACTCTGTGGGAGAAGGAGAGGGTGGGATGATCTGAGAGAATAGCATTTAAACGTGTATATTATCATATATGAAACAGATCACCAGTCCAGGTTTGATGCATGAGACAGGAAGCTCAGGGCTGGTGCACTGGGATGACCAAGAGGGATAGGATGGGGAGGGAGGTGGGAGGGGGTTCAGGATGGGGAACACATGTAAACCCATGGCTGATTCATATCAATGTATGGCAAAAACCACTACAATATTGTAAAGTAATCAGTTCAGTTCAGTTGCTCAGTTGCGTCCGACTCTTTGCAACCCCATGAATCGCAGCACGCCAGGCCTCCCTGTCCATCACCAACTCCCGGAGTTTACTCAAACTCAAGTTCATCGAGTCGGTGATGCCATCCAGCCATCTTATCCTCTGTAAAGTAATTAGCCTCCAACTAAAATAAATAAATTTTAAAAAAAGGGGTGGTGTATCTCTAATCTTCATAAAGATTCTTAAAGCTAGAAAAAATGGAATAGATGAATAATTTGCGAAGGAGAAATAGAGACACAGATGTAGAGAACAAATGACATTTGGATAACAAGGGGGAAAAGGGGTGGGACGAACTGGAAGCTTGGGATTGACATATTTACACTACTATGAGTAAAATAGATAATTACACTACTAAGTGTAAAATAGATAACTAATGCAAACCTACTGTACAGCATAGGGAATTCTACTCAATGCTCTGTAGCAACCAAAATGGAAGGAAATCCAAAAAAACGGGGGTGGGATATATGTACATGTGCAACTGACTCACTTTGCTGTACAGCAGACTAAAACAACATTATAAGGCAACTATATGCCAAAAAAAAAAGCAACCTGGGTCTCCTGCATTGGCAGGTGGATTCTTTTACCACTAGCACCACTTCATATCTTTGCTCAAATGCCACCTTTGTAATAAAACCTTCCCTGATCATCTTATGAATACTGCCCACTCTGGATCCTTTACCCTGCTGTACTTTCTCCCTGCACCCCCTTCCATGGTTGTTCACACCTTTTAACATACTGGATAATTCTCATGCTTATTGCCTCTCAGCCCCACTGGAAGGTCAGCTCCACAAGGGCAAGGATCTGTCTTGTTTTGCTCATGATCTTCAGTAACTAGAATCAAGCCTGGCATAGAATAGGGACTTGATGTTTGTTGAATGAATGATGTATCCTTTATGTATCCCTAGCATGCAGAACAGTACCTGGCATACAGTAGGGGTTCAACAGATACCTACTGAATGAACTGGAGCAATAGCAATAGCAATAGCAATTGGAGCAATAGGAAGTAGCAATACCAACTTCCTTGGTAAGGAAGTAGTTTTTCAAGTTGTTACTTACTCTCTCTGCTGGATGCTACGAACACGGAAGTTAAGAGGCCCCATTGTGGGAGTGGAGGGGAGCACCCTGGGGCTGAGGAAGCCATGTCAGAAAAGAGGAGCCTACCTGTATAGATCTGCCCCCAAGCTCAGCCCCAGACAGCAGCCCCAGTCACCCAAATAACTGACTTCTCTCAGAAAGGCAGAGAAGCTGCTTCCAGAGTCAGCCACAAAGGCTGGCTCAGTGTCTGGACAGCTTCCTAACAGGGTAGCACCCTGCAAGGAAAACTTCTGCAGATTTGGCAAAAGATGTTTTTTCACCCACATCTTGCTCAGACCCTGTGATGGAAAAAAAGCCAGTCCGGACAAATGGTACAGGTCATGGTCCCCTGCTTCTGAGTGGTCTGTGGAGTATTCATGGGCTCATGGAAGCTGTTGCTGCAGTAACCACTGCCGAGGAGGCAACACTGGCAGCACGTGTAGCAGCTGAGAACACCATGCAGACTCAGAAGGTGTTTGTGCACAGTGAACGAGGGGCAGGTTGGGAGGGCTTCCTTGTACTGCCTGTGCTTCCTAGAATGTAAGGAGGCCTGTCCTCATACTGAGGGATCAGGAGGGATCCTCTTGGGGAAGCATGAAAAGCCCCAATGATCTGCCCGGGGGGACCAGGCCCTCTGCCAGGGGCTAGGCCTTCTGAACACAGGGTTGTATTCAAGAACTTCAGGCCCCATTTCCAAAGGTGGGCTCAGGAGAAACATTAACTCCAGGAAATTGGATCTGATAAAAGATCTATTTTAAGGGCCAAGGTGCACAGAGGAGATGGAGGAATTGTCTGAAACCGTCAGGTCATGTCTCATTACAGGGCAGACACGGCACCAGGGCCATTCCCTGGGGAGCTTTATGTCCTCCAGGGCATTACCAAGACAGATTTACTATGATTTGGAGAAAAGAGGAGGCCTTGACTGGGTGAAGCATTTAACAATATAGGAAACTATTTTCTGGATGTGGGCTTCCCTAGTGGCTCAGATGGTAGAATTCGCCTGTAATCCCTGGATTGGGAGGATCCCTTGGAGGAGGACATGGCAACCCACTTCAGTATTCTTGCCTGGAGAATCCCCATGGACAGAGGAGCCTGGTGGGCTAGTCCATGGGGTGGCAGAGTCAGACACAACTGAGCGACTAGGCACAGAACTCCCAACCCTTTCCAAGATTAAAAACACAAGTCAGCCTGTAATTCCAGGGCAGTGTGTACAATCACAGTGATGACACAAGAACTGGAGGGACTGAGGGTGGGGTTGCTCTCTGGTATCTGCCTTAATAACCCTGTTCAGCTAATCTTGAAAACAGATGAGTTCCGGAATTAATTAGGGATGATTTAAAAAAAATAAGCCAGTCTGTGCAAGTGTCCCTCATATTGGGGTGACTATACTAGAAGGTTTTCTAATCCCTTAGTTTACTGCGCCTATGGCCAACTCATTGTCTTTCTATACCTGCTCATTTTGGCTCAGAACAATAATCTGCTTCTGCTTGGTGTAGACAGCAGCTTACCTTTATTCTTCTTCTTGAGGGGGAAGTATTCAAATTCTCCACAGTGGTGCCCTGTTCTGAAGCATCAGGAGTGTATACCAGAAGCCTAGATCTAATGCAAACACCACTAATTATATCAATGATCTAATGACTGAGGATGATTTACAAACAGTTGTGCCTAAACTCTGACTTCCCTTGTGGATTTTTTTTTCTTCCCTGTTGATTTTCTATCTTAGGACATTAAACAGGGAGAAGGATTCTCTGGAATCCTTTAGTAGGAAAAAAGATAACCTTTTGAGGATACAGTTACTCGGAGAAACCAGAGAAATTCTACCCAAGATATACAAAACTTTTTTACCTTCAAAGTTTTGGGACTAAAACGGGGGCCCCAAGATTAACTGGCTCCTCTGGAAAGTAGTGCTAGCATGTCCCATTGGTGGGGAGAAGCCTCCCTTCAGCCTGAATCCTGTCACAGGCTCAAGATACCCTGTGGGCATCTTCTGTGGACCAAAAGCAGAGCCTGCGAGATTCTTCCTTAGGAAGTTCTCCAGAGATGCAGCATTCCCGAATCCCTAGTCTCTGCTCAGGGACAGGGTTCATAGCTTTGGGATTCTGACAGTGGGCTCAGGAGCAAATGGATCCTTCCATTTGGCTGGCAGCCCAAGCTTGGCGGTGGTGCTGAAAACAGGAATGGTTCCCATCTCCACTCACAGCTCAGCACACCATTTATGATCTCTTTGTTTCACGAACTATTTGAACTTTTTATTATATACTAACTTCTGGTAAACTGGGTTTGTTTCTAGCCTCCCTTCTGATCCATCCTGTCCCAGGGCTGCACTGCGAAGTGAAGGGCAAACCATGACCATCCCCACCTTCACAAAGGCGGGCTTTTCACATTGTACAGGACTGGAAACAGCCCGGGGGATGGGAGTGAGTCCACAGGTCAGTCTTCCTCCATGTCCCAGAGGCCCACAAACTGGCAGATGGCATCATAGTGAAGCTCCACCACCCTGTCTTCTCTCTGCAGCTGTACCAGAGCCCGGCTCCGTGTTCTGTCCCGGTCCAGCAGACGGCCCACCTACAGTAGGAGTGGGTCGAGTCAGCAAGGCCAAGCCAAACCAGAGACGTTCCCGTGTGCCCCTGCCCCTGTTCCTAGGTCTGCAACTCACCCTTCCAGCCCATTGCCCCAGCACCACCATCACTTGGTCACCTGGGACCTTGGGGACCAGGGTCTCCAGCATGTCTTCCCTTAGGCCTGTGGACAAGGAGAGGGGAGTGAGACCTGCAGCAAGGGCCAGCCCAGCCAGGGTCCTGTCAGAAGGGCCTTTCCTGTATTCCCTGGAGCCACTCTATACCTGTTGACAGATGGTAGTCCCCCGTATCCATTTCCCAGAGGAGGAAACCTAAGGAGCCATTCCGGGCAATAGTTATAATAAAGGGAGCATTTATGTACAACAATGATGGGGGGGGGTGATAACAGACACCATTTATTGAGGGCACATTGTATGCCCTGCCCTGCATGGGGAGCTTACACACATCCCTGCAAGGTACTGGTCACAAGAGGGGGAAATAGGTTATCTCCATGATAATTTTTCAGAAGAGGCAAGTGGGGCTCAGCTATTCACCATCATAGAAGTATCCAATGATTTGTCAGAGGGTGTTGGGCCTTACAAAAAAAACCAATTCTGCCCAAACTCCGAGCCTCTGCCTGGGTCAGGCTCTTGACCCAAGATAGTCTTGTCATCTGCCTCCGGGATGATGAAGACCCAGCAACCATCCCTCAGACTCACCTTCCAAGACTTGGCCTTCGTCTGTCCGACACACACAGGTGTCTGGGCTCAGGACATCTTCAATTGTCATCTGGGGAAAGGGTCAGCGGATATGAGAATGTTAGCTAAGGGGACCCATTCCCCGGGGGAAGAAGCAGACCCAGGTGTGGGGTTCCCACCTTGGTGTTGTAATACTGGCCGCCCTTGTGCAGCTTGTCCACAAACCGCACTCGCAGATCTCTGTGCAGCCAGTGCTGACTCCGGGGGGCTGCTTTCTCATTCTTGGCTGCAGGCCCATCTTGTCTGTGGAGAGGGGTCGACAGCAGGCATAGCTCTTTATGGGGGGCATGTTCCAGTCACCCCACCTTGCCGATGTTTTGAAACCCACCCATAATGCCATTCCTATTTCCTTCTAGGCACCTGCCTTGCCCTGGAAGCCCTCTCTGCTGGAGCCTCCCCACAGTCCTGTCCCCTACCCCCACATCTGAGATGCTCAGTGTCCCACCGGTCTGAATGGTGTTTCCGCTTCCTCTCTGAATCCTCCCACCACATGTGGCTGTCCTGATCCTGGAGGGTCTTCCGTGATGAGGTTGTTCTGTGCTGTTCCCCAGGGGAAGTTCTGCTCACTTGACCTGTTCAGCAGGGTGTGAAGGAAACCCAGACACAGCCTTGGTGTCTCACTCACTTCCCTTCCAGGCCACATCTCAGCCTTAGGCCACCTCTCGTCTGCCAGAGTATCCCGGCTCACCATCCAGCCTTTGCCTTGGCTATTAGAACGCTGCCTACTTCCTCTCAGCTGTCTCGGCTTCCTTCAGGAGGCCTTGCTCGACTCACCTCCCATGTGCCAAACTGGTCCATCCTTGCCTAGAATGCCTTCCTCCCTGTCATGCCCTAGTCCTAGCTATTCTCCATCCCTAGCAACAGAGTAGTCCACCACCCAAGAGACAAAAACTTTCCAAGGGTAGGAACTGGTTTCCATTCCTGTTGCTTCCTCCCTAGAAAGAGGCTAAAGACCCAGGGTTACTAGAGAAACTTTTCTTCAGTCAAACTGCATAAACCACTATGTTCACTCTCACCTCTTTAATTCTGACCAGAAGGCACACTTGCCATGCAGACCACTGTCCCACCCCTCTCCAGATCTAACTCCACCCCCAGGAACACTGCTCCAACTCCCCCAGCTGAGTAACAGGCTCACTTACTCAGATTCAAGTTCTTGTCAAACTCCTTCTGGGAGACAGGCCGCAGGCAATACTCACTAACAGTCACCATGCGGCTCCCCACAGCCAGACGGACCATGGCTCGAACATTGTCAGGATCAAGGCCTTCCACCTAAAGTGTGTGTGTGTGTGGGGAGGGGGGGGTGGAGAGAAATGAGGCAGGGGTTGAGTGGACTTGACCCATGTTCCTAGGACCAAGTTGTCCACCCTTATCTCTAACAGGCCTGACTCCTGTGTCTCTCCCAGCAGACTGTGAGGCTTGGATACATTTTAAATATCTAATCCTCCAGGACCTGTGGCATATGGCGTTCTCTCCCTTTTAGCTGAAAACTGAGGCTCAGAAAGGCCTGGCAAGTAGTCCTTAGTTACGGAATGAGATAGTGGGCCTGGCAGCCCTAAAAGACAAGGACTTCCAGCCTTTATACTCCACACCCAATTCTGCCTCCTTCTGACCCTCACGTTAATCTTCCCCTGCTGCCTGTTTTTGGCTCCAGGCATATCAAGGTTCCTTACCTTCCCATAGAGGCCTCGGTGGGGGCCAGAAAGAACCACCACAGCTCCTCCAGGCACCAGTCCTTGAGGCTGGTCTTCCTTATCCTTCTCTTGCTCCTCATCTGGCCTTGGCAGGCGGTAGGGGCTGGTAGGGGCCAGGGCCTGGACCTCAGTCAGGTTGGCGCCCAGCCCTAATCCCTTGGGCCTAAGTGAATTGACACGGGGCTTCACTACTCTGCAGGGAGCACAGAATATGGACTTGTTGGGGGGGGCGTACATCAGTCTTCAATGTCTTGTTCCCCACCCCTATCCCCAACCACTATTTAACTCCCATCCTATCAACATGTTCAAGAATATCCTTCCCAATCTCATATTAGGACTATTTCTGACCTAGAGAAATGGCAATTTCATTTGGTTCAACCGAATAACATGCTGAGTATACCATCTATGACATGGTATCTAGAGTGGATTCTGAGACAGATCCCAACAGCCAAATATACCAATATTTCTACACGGGAAACTATTCACACCAAACAAGATAAATAGACTGTAAAATGCTCAATGTCAATTCAGGTCACATTTGGCTGTCAAATATTTCATTAAAAAAAATGTCTGGTTTTCAGAATTCTTTAGAGTTTGGAACGGTAGAGAAGGGATTACAGGTCTGTATGATCATGACAATATCAAGGGTTTAGCCTACACTTTATCTGTGGCCAAGGGCTATTATAAGTGCTTTATGTGTATCATTTCACTTAACTTTTTAGAACAGTGAGGTCAGTACTGTTATTACCCCCATTTTTCAGATGAGGAAGCTAATGCCCAGGGAGGCAATGTTTCCATAAATAGGATCTCTTAATGGAGTTTCAAAGGGCAAACAGGAGGCTACAACAGCAGCAGAAGGGACTACCGAAATACCTAGGGTGGTAATGTGCCCTCTCTCTGCCTGGACGGCTCTGGGTGGGCGGTAACCATGGGGGTCTGTTCCCTGGCCCATCAGCTGTCCCCTGGCCTATCTGCTGTTCCCTGTCCCTACCCGAGAAACTCACTGACTGAAGGTTCGGCCGATGCCCTTGCCAGGTTTCCAGCCCATGCCCCGCAGCATGGCCAGCCCATAGGCCTCAACAGGGACTGCCTCGTAATCAGCCTCCTCCGGCACCTATGGGTTTAGGCAGAGGAAGGACGGTCAGGCTTGGCTTACCGTGGGCCTGCTGAAGTGTACTTGCTATCAGCCACTGAGTGACACTTGAGGCTTCTTTCCAGTCAGCTCAAGGGTGAGTTTTTTTTTTTTTTTAAGGGTGAGTTTTTCTTTCCTCTCATCATCCCTTACTTTACTCCTCCATGTTCAGTCCTTGGACAAATACTTATAAAACATCTATTCTGTGCCAGCTACTGTTACAGGTGCTGAGGATAAAGCAGTGAACAAAATAGACAAAAACTCCTGCCCTTGTGTGGCTTACATTCTACTTGTGGAGATAGAATAAATGAAATGCCTAAAACATGATATGTCAGGTAGTGATTAAGTCAGATAAAGGAAAATAAAGCAGGTTAAGGGGATGCAGAGGGATGGAGAAGGGAGTGTCACCAAGTTGATATCTGAGTAGAGACCGAAGGAGATGACAGAGGGAACCCAGAAGATACAGGAAAAGTGCTCCAGAGAGGACAGTAAAAGCAAAGGCCCCAAGGCAGGACAAGATCCGTTGTGTGTGAAGAGCATCATGAAAGTCAATGCGATTGAAACAGATGTGGAGGCAAAGAGGGGTGGTAAGAGATTCAACAGGAGAGCTAGCCAGAAGCTATGATAGGGTGGCAGCTGCAACAGGACCAGTGAACAAGTTACTGCAATAGTCCAAATGAGAAATGCTGGTGGCTCAGACCAGAGGAGTGGTAGTGGTAATGGAGAGAAGTGGTCAGATTCTGGATATATGTGGAAAAGGGAGATGACAGGATTTTGCTGACAGACAGTATATAGGGTATGAAATAAAGAAGGGATTCAAGGATGACTCTAAGGTTTTTAGGCTGAGTGAAAGGAAGGATGGATGGAACTGTGATGGACTGAGATATGGAAGGCTCTGAGAGGAGGGAAAAATCAGAGAAAGGAGGCCAAAATTGGAATATTCTTCATTGATGGAGAATGAAGTGAAGGTCTTTTTTAAGATGAAAGAAACCCAGGGGTTTGTCTGAAGACTGAGGAGAACAGTTCAGTTGAAAGAATCTCTCTGCTTTGGGGCTGTAGGAGAACTAGAACCCAAATAAGCATTGCCAAAAAAATCGTGAATGAAGAGGTGGAAAGTAGTGTCCACGAGTATGAAAGGCAGACTTGGTTACTTCTGTGGATACACCCCTCACCTCTCCTGTTATCACCTCCCATCATCACTCCCTTAATTCTTTATAGTCACTCTAGACACATCAAGGTGTCACTGATAGACACACACCATGCTGATTTCCTGTCACTATGCCATTGTTTGGGTGGTTGCTGCCATTAGGAGTACTCACCCTCCTTTTCCCTCTCTCACTAAACCCTACCTATCCTCCTGGCCTCACTCCTACCACTCTGGTCTGGGTCTCCGTCACCTCTAGCATGGACTGCTGTTCTCCTTGCCTCCACCTTTGCTTACTAGTCTGTTCTGCTCACAGCAGCCAGAGAGAGCCTGTCAAGTCATAAGTCTTGTCCCTTCTCTGCTTAGAGCCCTCTCATGGCTCTCCTCCCACTCAGAGTAAAAGCCAAAGTCCTCACCGTGGCCCACTTATGACCTCATCTGCTACCCTTCCCTCTCACTCATTCCACTCCAGCTACCCTGATCTCCCTGGTGTTCCTCAAATGCTCCAAGCAGAGTCTACCCCTAGGATCTTTACATTTCCTGTTCCCTTTGCTCCTCATCTCCTTCAGATAATCCCAGAGTCCAAAGTTACCTTTTCACACCTCAATATCTGGATTCATTTGTCAATGCTTCCAAAAAAGGATAGAAGGAGGAAGGGAGAGGCGGCAGACCTCTAGTATACACAGACTTTTCCTGCTGTGTGCAGGGAGACAAGCCTGGCAGACAGGGCAATGAGAGACTGGGGAAGCGGGGAGGTGAGGGGCCAGCTCACTGTCTCTGCCTGGGGTTCGCTGTCTGTCCCTTCTCCATTGGGGGTGCATCCTTTCTGGATCATGGGGATAGCGAGTGTGGGGTCGACACCCGCATTCTCTCTCTCCTCCAGAGACTTCTTGGATTCTGAAGAAGAATGGGAGGGCACAATGAGGTCCCACCCTCTCCTTCCATTTTCCTCCCCTTCTTCCTTCACTAGGGCAAGGCAAAGGAGGGATTACTCACCCTCAATGAGCTCCTTCACAGCCTGGGACAGGATCCCATCCATCAAGACCTCAGTATGTGTGGATGGCCCAGGGGCCTGGGTCGGTGGCTGCCTTCGATGGCCATTCTGGATCAAAGGGATGACAAGTTCCTTGGGGGCTTCTGAGGGCTTCACACTGATGTGGACACAGAGGAGTGAAATTAGGAGAGTAGCACAAACAGTGAGGCCTGAGCCACAACCCTTCACTCAGAAGAAACACAAGGGCCACATTCACCCCCAGCCCCATGGATCATGCCTTCCGTTCTCATGTTATACCCTGGTGGTGCTTTTTTTGGAGTCTCTTCCCCACCACGAACTTTTTTTTTTTTTTGGCTGCACCTGGTGACTTGCAAGATAGTAGTTCCCCAACCAGGGGTCAAACCCCGGCCCCTTGCATTGGAAACACGGAGTCCTAACCACTGGACCACCAGAGAACCCTCTCTCCCCACCTCTTAAACGTCAGTGCCTTCGTGGAATCAGTCCTCAGTTCTGGACCCTCTATTCATCTCAAGACCCACTTCTGTGGCTTCCACAAGGACCTAGAAATCAAAATCTTCAGCCCAGACTCTCTCCCCCCAGTTCCAGGCTCCACACCAGCCTCCTGGATGGTTGATTCTCTTCTGGAAGCCCCTCCCTCAAACTGTCCATTCCGAATTAAGGTGATGATGGCCTCCCCCCCAACCTGAATCTGGGGCTCAATTCCGGTCCCCACATCGAAGAACCCTCACCGCTTCGCCTGGGCCACTAGGAGTCCTGTCATTCGCCATTCCTTTTCTTCTTTCAGAACACAAACACACGCTCCGCAGGGTCCCTCGACTCCTAAAGACACACTCTCTCAGGAATACATCTTCTCCTCTCAATCCCTTCGGCCAACAGATCCAATTTTCCCACCTCTCTTACTGACTCCAGACTTTTCTCCTCCACAGATTTTCTCTGGCTGTCCTTCAGACTTCCCAGGCCACTGTCACCAAGACGTCAACTGATTCCACCCTCCCGCAGGCACCCACCGCACCGGTTTCCAAGGGATGAAAGACCCAGCACTTCACCTCTGCAGCTCCCGGCCTTCCACGGTCTTCAAGTAATCCTTCTTCTCCGGAGTCGCGTCTCCCGCAAGCCATCTGCGGGCGGACGTGCGATTGAAGCTGAACGAAATTGGGGCAGTGGAGGATCCCACCGGCCGCAAAACACCATCTTCAGCGTCCGCCATCTTGCCCCTCTTCCCAGGCCGTCGCGCTGCCCGCTGGGAAGCTTAGTTTACGCTCACTTTGCCGGGGCCTTGAGCACGACCGGTAGAACTACCCTTCCCATGAAGCATTGCGGCATTGGCCGGCGAAGGCGGAAAGGGGCCGTAGGAAGTAACTGCCGCTCTATTTACTTCACAGGAGCGCGTGACACCAAGCTTGGAGGGAAATGTAGTTCTTAGGGAAGCTGTATGCATGCTAAGTCGGTTCAGTCGTGTCCGACTCTGCGACCTTATGGACCATAGCCCATAGGTCAGACTCCTCTGACCATGGGATTCACCAGACAAGAATACTGGAGTGGGTTGCCATGCCCTCCTCCAAGGGATCTTCCTGACCAAGGGATGGAACCCACGTCTCTTACGTCTCCTCCGTTGGCAGGTGGGTTCTTGGGGAAGGTAGGCCTGATAGAAGATGGGTTCGTTCTTGCCAAGTATTCATTCCTATCTATGGGCATTATTAATCGCCTGCTTTGCCCTACTGGTGTGGGAAATTAGGTAAAATAAATGATTAAGAAAAAAATCTGTGAGTGCCAGTTGTGTACAATAATAAATAATAGACATGTAAGTGGTGCCTACAACGTCTTGTTGTAGATTTAATAGTGGGCAAACTCTAGATTCAAATACAGATGACCTTTGGATTACATGGGTTTGAACTGTGAGAGTCCATTTATAGGTGGATATCTTTCACTAAATAACCTACTACATTACTACATGATGTGAGGTTGGTTGGATTCAAGTTTGGTTGAATCCGAGGATGCAGAATCTGGAGGGCTGACTGTAATGTTATAGGAGGATTTTAGACTGCCCTGCATTGTTGCCCCTAATCCCTACATCGTTCAAAGGTCAGCTGTATTAATAAAATAGTCTGGCTTCCTCTCTTGAGACTCCAAGTCTAGTGGGAAACAATGACACTCAAAACGGATAAAAAAATGTTTCTACCAACTTTTAAATGTTGTGAGAGCCACCTCCTAAGGCCTCAGAAGATTAATGAGACACTCCTCCGAGTAGGACCTTAAGAGTTTGTAAAGTAGAAGACCGATACTTAAATAGTCATAAGAAAGAAAACTACAAATCTAAAAATTCATCCCAAGGAAACCATCCAAGATATTATGAAGTATTTTATATCAGAGTATTGTTTATTGTAGCAAAAGCTTGAAGACCACTAAAATGAACAACAAAAGGAGATGGGCTAAATGAATTAGAGCATATTGTTTGGATGGAACCAATACAGAGCTTTTAAATGTGAAGCTATAATTATAGAAATGAGGACATAGTCACAGTGTTTGGAAACTAAATAATAATTTAGTGGGTTATAGGAAGCTCTTGAAAACAGGTAGCCCAATATACAATCAATTTTGTGGCTATGCTTTCAGGCTTATAAGCCCTACGCCTCCTGGGATGGGCCCTGAAATCTCAAGAGAGAAGCCATTGTGGATTTCAAAATATACAGCAACAACAACAACAACATCTTAAAATTTTTATTTTGAAATACATTAAGCCAAAAAGAAATGTTGGAAAAATAGTAGAGTCCCTATATGGGCTTCCCTTGTGGCTCAACTGGTAAAGAATCTGCCTGCAATGTAGGAGACCTGGGTTTGATCCCTGGGTAGGGAACATCCCCTGGAGAAGGGAAAGACTACCCACTCCAGTATTCTGGCCTGGAAAATACCATGGACTGTATAGTCCATGGGATTGCAAAGAGTTGGACGCAACTGATCAACTTTCACTTCCCTGTATATCCAGACCCCCCTAAACATTTTATATAATGATAGTATAATTGCCATAATGAGGAAATTAACCTTTATGCTATGATTAACTAAACAATAGATCATTTTCTGTTTCAGGATTCAATCTAGGTTCATACTTTCCATATAATTGTAATGCCTCTTTCTTGGGCCACACTGCATAGCATGTGGCATCTTGCACCCCCTGCAGTGGAATCATGGAATGTTAACCACTGAACCACCAAAGAAGTCCCTGTAATGCCTTCTTAAGTCTTCTCCTGTGAAAATTTCTGTCTGTGAAAATTTCTGTCTCTCATGACCTTAACATTTTTGGAAAGTACAGTTTAGTTATTTTGTAGAATGTCCCTCAGGTTGGACTTGTCTGATGAGTTCTCATAATTAGGCTGAGGTTATGAGTTCCTCACAAGAATGCCACAGAGTTGAAGTGCCTTTCTCACCACATCATATTAGAGAGTTCACAACATTATATCTTTTATCATTTAAAAAATATTTATTTATTTATTTGACTGCCTTGGGTCTTAGTTGCATTATTCAGGGTCTTTTTTTAAGTTGTGGTATATGGGATCCAGTTCCCTGATCAGGGATGGAACCCAGGCCCTCTGCATTGGGAGCAAGGAGTCTTAGCCATTGGACAACCGGGAAGTCCCAACAACATTCTATCTTATTATTAATGATGTGAACATTGCCTGGGAGGCTAGCTGTCCGTGGCTGAAGTGATACCCACTTCCTGAAGCAGCCACCTGAGACAGTGTGCACAATACAGGCTTACAGAGGCTAGGGCCAGAGGTCCCTGAGAATCTTACCTTCTCAGCTGGTTCACACCTGATCTGTGACTCACTCCTGACATGTACCACGGAGATCATGCCAAGCTACCCTAGTCCTGATGCAAAACTTCATGGTGAAAATATAGTGGGACAAAAGACACTTTTTTTCTGTTTTTCCTTTATTCTGAAAACAAAATCAGGAATTTTTTTCTATTTTCAAGCATTAAGAAAAGTATTTGCTTACCATGCAGTATAAGAAGACTATAGGAAAGTTTTGCACATTCAACCATTTATTCTTCTGTTCATTGAATAAACATGAATTGAGCACCTACCCTGATATATACTCTTCCTTCCAGGTACTCATATGGGATAATGGGACAATCCATGGTTCCAAGCCCTGGTTATGACTGCAGACATACAGGACTGTGGGAAGGGGTGGCTGAGAAGACAGAGGGGGTTAGTTTACATGATACCACTTCTAAGATTGGATGAAGATTCAGAAAGCATTCTGAAAGATGGCAGGAAGTGAAGCTGGAGTGATGGGCTGGAGTTTGGCTACCTCACTACAACTGACTCAAATCCTCAAATTAAGGACTTTCTGCTGTATGTAATAAGGGCACCATGAGAAGGTTATGTGACATGACAAAATTTGTATTTTAGAAAAATAATGTATATCAAAGGTATAGAGACAATGTGCTCAATAGACAAAGCACTCCTGTAGTTCAATAACTATAAAAGGAAAGCAATTCCCAACTAAAAAATGGGAGCAGACAGAATTAGATGGTTCACAAAATGAGAAATACAAATAGTCATGAAGCATGTGCAAAGATTCTCAACCTCACTAATACTCAAAGCAGAGACTTCCCTGGTGGTCCAGTGGCTAAGACTCTGGGCTCCCAATACAAGGGACCCAGGTTCAATCCCTGGTCTTGTAGCTAAAGATCCCACATGCTGCAACTAAGATCCAGCATAGCCAAATAAACAAACACTCAAAGCAATGCAAACAAATAAATAATAAAGTGTTGTTCTTCTCTTAACTCACTGGTAAAATTAAAAAGACAAACATTTCTACTGTGGGTTCTCTATGCCAATTGCCCATCTAAGCACTCACTTAGTCCTCCAAGGATTCTGTGAGGTAGGGACTATTTTAAGTAAGTAAGTATTTAAGTAAGTAAGAGAACTGCAGCCCAGAGAGGCTGAGTTGGCCAAGATCACAAAATAGTAAGTACTATGAATGAATCCTAGAGCTACTAAAGATAGAAGAAAACGCGCACATTCATACACTGCTAATAGGGGCACAAATTGATGCAACATTTATCCAGGGAAGTATAATAATATATATGCCTTCCCTGACTCAGTGACTCCATTTCTAAGAATAGATCTGAAGGAAAGAATGGAAAATTGGAGCAGGATATTCTGTATGATAATGAGTGAATCTACATTATACCCTGACTAAAAAGGTTTAAAACTTCTTTGTGGTTTGACAAGGAACAATAGCTACAATATTGTGTTAAATGGAAAAAGCAATTTGAGGAGTATGTAGGAATTTCTGGAAAATTAATAATGTTATCTTATTTAACCTAGTGATAGTTACACAGGTATTGATTTTACAGTTTGTCAAACTGTTCGTGTATGTTGTATGTATGTTCTCCATTAGGCATATTTCACTATTTTTAAAAATAGAGAATTCCAGAATCATAGTACTAGGAGCTTGATGGGCTTTATCCTCAACAAAGCAACAAACACTAGTGAAATTTTTTTTTACTTCTTTTTATTCTTTTATTTTTTATTAGAAGATAAATGCTCTACAATGTTGTGGTGGTCTCTGCCATACATCAGTGCAAATCAGTCATAATTATATATATCTACCCTCCCTTCTGAGCCTCAGTTACACCCCCACATTCCACCCCTCTAGGTGGTCACACAGCATCAGGCTGGGCTCCCTGTTACATAGCAGCTTCCCACAAGCTCTCTAATTTACACATGACAGTGTATATAAATCAATGCTACTTTCTCAATTAGCACCACTCTCTCTTCCCTTGCTGTGTCCACAAGTCTGTTCTCTTTGTGTCTCCATGACTTCTTGGTAAATAGGTTCATCAGTACTATTTTTCTAGATTCCATATAAATGCATTAGTATATGATGCTTGTTTTTGTCTTTCTGACTTACTTCACTCTGTATGACAGACTCTAGGTTTATCCACCTCACTACAAGTGACTCAAATTTGTTTCTTTTTATGGCTGAGTAGTATTCCATTGTATGTATGTACTATATCTTTATCCATTCATCTGTCAATGGACATCTTGGTTGCTTCCATGTTCTGGCTGTTGTAAATATGTAAATAGTGGTGCTATGAACATTGGGGTACATGTATCTTTTTGAATTATGGTTTTCTCAGGGTATATGCCCAGTAGTGGGATTGGGCTTCCCTGGTAGCTCAACTGGTAAAGAATCTGCCTGCAATGCAGGAGACTCCAGTTTGATTCCTGGGTCAGGAAGATCCCCTGGAGAAGGGCATGGCAACCCACTCCAGTATTCTTGCCTGGAGAATCCTCATGGACAGAGGAGCCTGGCAGGCTACAGTCCATAGGGTCGCAAAGAGTCAGACACAACTGAGTGTCTAAGCACACAGATGGTACTTTTATTCCTAGTTCGTTAAGGAATCTCCATACTGTTCTCCATAGTGGCTATATCAATTTACATTCCCACAAACCGTGCAGTGGGTTTTCCTTTTCTCCACATCCTGTCCAAGATTTATTGTTTGTAGTTTTTTTTTTTTTATGATGGCCATTCTGATTGGCGTGAGGTAATACCTCATTATAGTTTTGATTTGCATTTCTCTAATAATGAGCTATGTTGAGTTTAACCAACCCTGTAAAGTCTTTGGGAATTGCATAAGGGCATATAGGAAACAGAGAAACATTTGTTCAAGAAAATCCAATAAATCACTATGAAAACACCAAAAGTCTGGCACTATAATTATGACTTGCTCCCTCCATGCATGCCATCTCAGTGTGATAGAAGCTCTACTCCAAGAGTGTGACCAAGTACATGGGGCTCTCCCCCTGCCAGCTCCTGGTCTAGGACAGTGATTTCTCCTCAGGAGGGGCAGGTAACGAATATGTCTCATCTGCTCAGCCCCATATTACAGAAACTCTGTTCTGGGAAGGCATGACTAAGAGGTCTGGGGCTCTCTTCCACCACCCAGACCCTGTTCATAAGGATGAAACTGTACCCCAGTATAGCAGACCAGGAATATCGGGCCCCAATTGCCCACTCCATAGCTTACTGTTAGAGTGGAGGTTCCACACTGGGAAAGACAAGCAGATAATACCAAAGGATATAACCTCCCCAGCTCCCTGCTCATAGAAAAGGAGTGTTGGTCACTCCAAGAGAGGTGGGCTTCTGATAGACCTGCAACTCTTGAGGGAGAATATAAAGAACAGAGAGTTTAACAGCTCTCCCTTAGAGGACTGACTTTATTTGAAACAGAAAGTCAAGAAGTTGAAGAAAAGGGGCTTTAGAAGCCATTAAGATAGCAACAAGAAAAACAGGGAGAAACAGCTGACAAGAGTCCTTCTAGGGGCAGAGCAAGCTACAAAGATTGCTCTCAAGAAAAAAAAAAAGCTGTTCTCAAAGGCTACACCATGCTTACACCTTAAACACTGTAAACGAACTATACTTCAAAAAAAGATTTAAAAAGACTACCCCGTATTTTAGTTGAATAAGGGGCCTGACTTTAATGGAATAAGATTTTAATTGGTTAATTAGAACAAGTTATGCCCCAGAGTACTGTAAAACTTTAGTGGCAGTTAAGTTAGGTATAGTATTGATAGCTTATGGTGAATGATGTCAGATTCGTGATCTCTGAAGAAAAAGATTTAGATTTGGGACCAGAGACCAGGCTTGACCACTCAGGGCTCTTGTGTGGCAGAAGTTTTGTTACAATGAAAAGGGACAGAGAAAGCTTCTGACATAGACATCAGAAAGGGGGTGGAGAGTGTCCCACTTGCTAGTCTTAGCTAGGGAGCTATATACTTTTTAAATTGATTATTACAATAAATCAAAA